AGCAGGAAGAATAGAATAGGCTGAAGTAGCTTAAGGGAACGGATCATTGCTTTTCTGCTGATACAAGCTAGCATCTGGGCTTGTGGTGTCCAGAGGAGGTCTACCCGTTTGATTTTGGAAGGAAGGGAGCTGAGCTGGGCATTCCCACACCCCCACTGTGTTTCTGAGCTTGAGGGAGCCAAATCTGTTTTTGGTAAGTGTGGTTTGGGTGACGCCTGGTGGAAGCGTTAGACAGCCTGGGATTTCGGAGTTGGGTCTCCACATGAGGCTTCAGTCGGCCGGCCTTAGATACCCACTTTGAAAACTGGCTGCAAACGGAGATGGCTTTGTATTCCGGTGGGACCGGGCTGGATCCGTCAGCAACCTAACATTCCTTATGTTGCAGCCTGTCTGCGTACGTTCTTCGTATCGTAGTACCTGAGCCTAATGTGCGTGTGTGCTCACATCCCTTTGCTCTGCTCTGGCTCTTTCCCCTTTCCTGCATATTCAGAGTGGAAAAGCCTTATTACCGTTGCTGTACCCTTATTTTTCCTCCTTAGTGAGGCAGCCCAGTCGAGCCTGTCGCATTGCTGTGTCCCTAAAGTGCCCTCCTCTCTGCTCTCGCGTGCTTTGTGGGTACCTCCGTGCCGTCCTGCCACCATTCAGCTATGACAAGTATCAGCTAGGGCAAGGGGTTGTGTCATGTATTTTTAATGGTAAGAGGATATTCCACCGGATTTTCCCAGTGTGTGTGCCAATCCCCACCCCCATGTTCTGAAGCAGGAACTGGATTTTCGTGCATACTCTTCAGATTTCCCCTGCTTGCTTGATGCACGTTGATCAGCTTAAGGAGTTTTGGACACTTCAGTACCTTACAATCTTGTCTAGACAAGGTAATGGTGAAAAACCACCACAACCCTTTACTGACAAGCATCTATTTTTCTTGCCTTTGTTTTTTTTTTGTTTGTTTGTTTTGGCAGGCTGATTTGAACACCAATATTGAAGATGAATCCAGATCTTTCTATGGAGTTTCCAGCCAATATGAGAGCCCAGAAAACATGGTCATTACCTGTTCCACCAAAGTGTGTTCCTTTGGAAAGCAGGTGGTGGAGAAAGTGGAGGTAGGGAGCAGACGTCGGGGTACAAGGTTCTCTCTGGCTGCTGTTTTGTCACTTCAAGTATTTGCATCCTGCATATACCTCAAGATCTCTCTCTCGTTGTGAGGGAGATGGATGCCATAAATTATTTTTGAGACATGCAGGTCTAAGATTGCTCCAGTCTGAAACATGGCCTTGTCTCAGGGCTTCATTGAAGGTCAGGTAGTGTTTGCTAATTTCTTCTTAAATCCCAGTTTCTGAAGACATGTGAATATGTAAGACTCTCAGCTCTGGTGATTCTCTGGGTTTTATTGTGGAGCAAAGCAAAACCTTGTTTGTAGTCCAGAAAGGTGGAAACAAATAGGCAACACCTCACATAGTCTTTTAAAACAGATAATTTGTAGACTATATCCATTAATTAATAGACTGTAATAATTTAGAAACTGTAGTCTTATGGTTCTACAAAGCTTATTTACTACTTGTACCTTTACAGCTTGAGCAGCAGTGGAGCTGCATAATTATGCTTGTATCTGTCACTGAGGACTTACTTTCTGATGCCACGTTCAGCTCCTCAGAGAGCTGCTCTGATCTGCTTCTTGCTGCTCTCCTTCTCCAGAAGCCTTTAGATGGAGAAGGCTGGGTGCAGAACATCAGCTGTTCTTGTGTCAGCTGTCAGTTCAAGCTCCATCCATCCCCAAGACCTGCCTCCGTGATAGACAGGCCTGAAGTCTGGTTATGTATTTGCATGATGGGATAGACAAGCCAGAGAAGGGTGTCATGGTGCACAGTAAAGGAGACTAAGCTCTTGGGGTGAAAGGAGGTTAACGGACATTTACGGGTCTGCTGTGAAATGATAAAACTCAGCCTCAGCTTCTGTTCAAGGGAAGATGGAATACAGGAGCTAAGATATGAACCTGAACCAAAAGGTCCGTCTCTGTAACACTGGCCAGACCCTCTCCTAAGGGAGAACAGAGGTACTATGTTCTCTCTCGCAGGACCAGAAGGTCCTTTCCAGCGGTGAAGCATCCTGAGCATATGATTACCGTCATTACTAGGAGGTTCCTGGTCTTGCTAAAGCAGTTTTTAACTTTTTCAGTTTCTTCACGCATGATGTTTTTCCAGTAGGGATGTGGACCATAGTATAGCTGACAGTTAGTCTGCTCCTCTTAGTTACCTTTCACAGCTCCTTGGCAGTTTGCTGCTTGCAAGCTGGAACCCACTGTTGTAAAGAAAAAAGAAAGAAAGCCAAAGAAATCGGAGTGCTCAAGGAGACTGAGCTTGGTGCAAAGTACTGTAGAGGAATGATTAATCAGCTCATTGTTGTTAGTAAAATGACTTAAAATTACCATTGTAATTTTTCCGTTCTGAATCCCTTTATGTGATTATTGCTGCTTGTGTGTCAGCATTAGCCCCACGTGCCCCTTCTGTGTTTTGCATTGCAGACAGAGTACGCACGCTATGAAAATGGACACTATTCCTATCGTATTCACCGTTCTCCTCTCTGCGAATACATGATAAACTTCATTCACAAACTCAAGCACCTTCCTGAGAAGTATATGATGAACAGTGTGCTGGAGAACTTTACTATTTTACAGGTGGGACTTTCAGCTGTTTTCATTGGAGCTTGGAAACATATATGCCCCATGCAGGAGTTCACTGTTGTGAGTCAAAGTAGATTTCCTTTTACAGCTCAGCATCTAATTGAACTTAGTGTCTCTCCCATGTGTTGCACCTCAAGACAATTTCTGGAACAGTAGAGATAGTAACTCATGCAGAGAAGCAGCAGAAGAATTTGAGAGACCTGAGTAAGAAGGAAAAAAAGAAAGATAAAGGGAGAACTCATGAGGCAGAGAGGTAAAGGAAGGAGCAGGATGAAAAACTCAGTGAAGGAAATGCTCATTCACGACTGGACAAACATTGAGGTCCTTTCTGTGCCCTGGCCCTTTTTGCAAGGTAAATAAAACCCAAAACTAAACCAAGAGCACTATTAAGTGGCTATATAATTTTGTCATGGGAAGAGTTCTTCACTGACCAGGTAGGAAAAATCCCAAACCAGTTGTTTCCTCAGGACCATCCTGAACCTGGAAAGAATATGGAAGCACATAAAAGATGTTGGGGGGAGCTCTGTGACACCCTCAGGAATCACTGCAACCTCTAGGTAGGGCAGTACTACAAGGCTACACAAGTAGATTTGCATTAGTCTGTATGTAATACGAGGAGCATTTCCAGACTTGGATGCAGACTAAATTTGGGAAGAGGGCAAAGACAGCTTAAAAGGTGGATTTTCCTAATGGACTGAGTTCTGTGCTCGCCTCTACAAGACGTGTCACAGATCTTCGCCCAACGATCCAAGGATGGGTAAGTAGAAGAGATGCTAGCAGCTCTGTGAAAGAGTGGAAATCAAATGGTCTTCATTCCATCCTCTGGAGATCTTGAGGGATTCCAGGCAACTCATTTCACTGCTCTGTGGCTCAGGTACCTCAAATATAAAAACCAAAGTTAATAATATACCTCACAGGGCTTTAGAAAGTTTTACTCTTTCATAATTGCACCAAGATCTTTGGCATCTGGAAGAAAAAAGGAGTATAAATGCTGTTTTTTAGATCAGCAAAAGCATGAAGGGGGCAGTGACAGAGAGATGGAAGGCCTGTGTGCTGTAATCCATACTAAGGAACACTGTAACTGCTTTCTGCATGTTTCATTCCTCAGTCAGGCCAATGCTTGCTATAAATTTTATGAGCAAAGTTGTCATGTAGTTATACTTCCTGTGGGGCTTTATGTTTCGGGTAATCTCATCTCCTTCCCTTCCCTTCTGTCACAGAGAGGCATGCCTCATGTGGGTGCTGTCACCGACTTTTATGTATTGCCTTGCAGTCCTGCTCCCTGAGGAGCAGACTGAGCATTTCCTACATCCCCATTCCTCACTGGGGAGCTGAAAAATGGTCATGCTTAATGCAAGGCATGCTGCTAGTCCTCAGTCCCCACTACCAACTTCTGAGGCAAGTTTAATTATATTTTTTCTAGACCCGTTCAGGAGCTTAGATACCCCTAAGCTCACAGGTATGATTTGTCTTCTTTTGCACATTGCTCTGGATCTAGCCCTCCGGGATTTCAGGGCCCATTTTTCAAAAAAGGCTCTGGTGCCATTCCACAGCTGGATGTGTGTAACTCACAACGATCTGCAGAATAAAGGAGAAGGGTTAGCTGCAAACCCAAGCGTGAAGCAAGAAAAGAAAACAGAATAGACCAAAATCAGGCTGCTGAAATTAATAAGCAAGTCTAAAACCAGCTGTTTTCTTTCTGTTTTCACAAGAACGGTTGAGCTTTGGTACAGTTCAAGCCTCCAGCTGATACGTTCTTCTGCAGTTGAGTTGGTGCTACTGCTGTAAAAATCTATCTCCTACAGCGAGATCTGCTTAAAGCTTTAGCTATGGCACAAACTCGATGACAAGAATGTGCAAAGTTGTGTGCTGGCAGAGAGAGGGAAACGGAGCTAGGAGCTCGGGGTGCAACATTTCGCTTGTCCCTGCCAGGTAGTGTAGGCAGCGCATGCTTCTGAAACTAGTACTGCACTGTTCCATCACCATGCTGCTGACACCGAGTCCCATGGCAGAGAAGCTAAGGCTCCTGAGGGACTGTAGAAAAAGAACTGGCAAAAAGGAGCTTCTCTAAGCGTGCATCAGTGTAGCAACCATCCTTCCCCTGACATCTACGGTGTATGGAATAGGAGGTGTGATGGCGTCAAAACTGTAAGTCTCATTTAAAACGAGTTGTGCTGTGTAATCCTCATGGGCTGTCTCTATCACAGACAAGCAGGAGCAGATGGAGGGAAAGAACTGTTCATGGCTGTGAGATATACAGAGCAAAAAGAGATTTTCCGTGAAACACCTTCTCTCTGATGAAATCTGCAGCACTAGGGGGTGGGGAGTAGAGGACCTACTGGACCTGCTTCCATTGATTTAATCATTGATCACAGCATCCTTTTCCCCACGGTGGACTCTGCTCCCCTCCCTGTCTCTTCACTGCATTGCAGTCCTGATGCTGCAAAAGGGCTTTGCTTGGTTGTGTGGGCAAGTAGACAGGGGGTTATGGTGGCCGAGCTGCGTGTCATTGCTGTGCTGCTCCGTTCTTTGCCTATTACTGACTTTTTGCACTGTGTTAAATGTGTTGGAATATGTAAGCAGGGAAACAGTTGCCATCTCAGCTTCTTCTCGTTTTCTGTCTAGGTTGTGACAAACAGGGACACACAGGAGACCTTGCTGTGCATAGCGTATGTTTTTGAGGTGTCAACTAGTGACCATGGTGCCCAGCATCACATCTACCGGCTGGTAAAAGACTAGAGACTCTCTGCCCTGAGTCGTCCATGGGATGCATGTCTAAGGAAAAAGCCTGTGCTTGAACAACCCCTGCCCCCCCATACCAAACTGAAAAATAAACTGCAGATATTGTGTATTTTCAGAAAAGCACCTCTGAACTGATTTGTGATTGACAGGGTCAAATAAGTTTGTATCTCCAGGTTTGTGCAAATGGGAAGAAGAGTCAAAGAAATGCAAATAACTGCGTAAAAGTTTCACCACAAACAGCATCCTCTGGAGTGTATTTCCCACAGACCACACACAGGGTGTGATCATACACATCAAAGGAGTGGTATGCACCCGATCATACAGGCAGGGCAATGGCAGCAGCCTCCACAAGTTTGCCCATACATGAACAGCTTGAAAATGTTCATGCTACGTCTGGTCTGCGTGTGTGCGCTCATACATTCATTTGTAGGTCAGCACATGCACGGACATGCTTCCCGAACGTTTATATGGATGTCAGTCAGACGTGTGGGCACATGCATGGGTATAGAGGATGCACATGTAGCCTACATATCTGCCTGTCTAGCTTTCCGCCTCAGCAGGGGTGCTAAGTCACAGGGTCCTTCAGCCTTTCTCCTGTCAGAGGCTGGATACCGTTTCCCTCTCTTCTGTGCATGATAGCGAGACACCAACCTTTCTTTTGCCTTTTGAATGAAGTTATGCTTAGGAAATTTGGTATGTTAAATCGTGTTGTCTTGCCCAGCAGATTTCCTCCATGCATCAGGTCTGTTGACTGACTAAAATAATTCTTCCTGCTTTTGCTTGTGTTCTCCTTGTGCAGTTAGCACTGCTCAGGGGGCTAGACTGCTCTTTTCTTGTGCACCAGTAAAATAATTGTTTGTTGATATCAAACTGTTCCAACGGGTAGTTGCAGACAGTGAGGTGCACAAGTATTGCAAAGAATGCCATTTGGCCAGAAAACCTCAGGAAAAGGATGAGAGAGAATAGTTAAAAGAGGTTAGCTTTCCGTGTTTCCAAGGCAATCAAACACAGTCTGCTTTACTAGTAAACTGAGGTTGTTTTTACTCAAAAGTCACTGAGAGCCAACAACGTGGTCCCCACAATGCTGCTGATGTGGGGGAAGATCCAGCCATTCGTGTTACTCTGAGGGAAGAGGTGGCTTGCATGATGCTCTCTGGCAGCCACCGAACAGGCACAGTCCCGTGGCACAGATTTCGATATATGGTGTTACATCTTCACTTTCCACAATGCATGACAACACCTTGGGAAACACCTCTCACACTTATTTTAGATGTTTCCATCCTTGCATTTTTGGCATAGAGGAAAGTAGTCATGGGTACCTGGGGATTCTGAGATACCCCAGGAGGTGCATTGCCTGCTGTATTTAATGAAAAATCGATCCTAAATCTGATCTCATCACTTACTTCTGAGATTGTACTTAAAAAAAGAAAATCATGGTAATTGGATTTTAGTGGTTTGTTTGCTTGGATCTTCAGTGGCATCTTTCATCTAATGCAGATGGTAGTTTTCTCTAGGTGGAAATTTGTGTGCACAATGGCACAGCATCAGCAATGTCCCAGGGTTATGCCAAGGGGAAAATGGAACTGAATTTTCTGAAATAAGTGGGGAGACATTTCATTATAGGTCATTTACCTCCTCCTCCTTCACACCCCTGAAGTGGCAAGTTAACAGCCATGGGAGTTGGATTGAATGGAACTGCTGCACGCTGTTACGTGGCTGCTTTTCCTGCTAGTGGTTTAAATTAATGCTTCTGTGACGATAACTCTGCGGTGGGGGCTGCTGGTGAGTGTTGTGATACAGAGATGGCCCAGCCTAACTGTCTAGGGGCAAAACTTTTAACTTCAAAGGAATGATAACCTGCAGGTCCCAGCGCAGTGAGCAATCCCTGTCTGAGAGCCCCAGAGTGGGGAGAAAACCCCACTGACCCCTCTAACCCACTAACAAAAGAACCTGCCCCACTTCTAACAACTGCACCAAGAGCTAAGAAAGGAGCTAAGGACCCAACTATCAAGCTAGCCCAAAGCCTTAACGACCCTCCCAAGGCCAGTTCACACCTTCTGAACTGTGCATGTGCCCTGAGCCTGACATACCATGCAGCAAAACAACTCTCGACCGCTCTGGGCCAGTCGTCAGCACTATGAGTTCAAGGAGCCCATTGGGCGCCGATGCCAGCTCAGGCCGGGTCACTGCTGCTCTTCTGGCAAGGCTGGACCTCTGTAGGTTCAGGTGATCTCTGCCAGAGTGATTCCTACAACACAAAACTCAGAAGAAGGGTTAGTTGCAGCAGTTATTGTCCATCATGCAGTTTAATTCATGGGCTAGTTTCTCCCAGAATCAAATCCCCCTGAGGCACACAATGAACTTCCCCATCTTCTCTCAGTACCCACCAAGTGCATCCAGGTCCTTGAGCAAAAGCAATCCCACGGATGTGTTTGCTTTTGCCTGAGGCAGGAATAACCCAGACTGTTTTTCCCAGCATATTTTTTAACATGCACCTCAGGGACTTCATCTCCTACAGTCCATAAAAGGTTTGATTGGGCAGGGCCAGCACGACTGGGAGATCCTCTGCTGCTGACTAACCAGGTGTCTTTTGCCAAATGTGCATCCCAATGTTCGAGAGTTCCACCCTCCATTGCTCTCAGGGTGGTCTTTAACATCCCATTGCACCATTTGACCTTCCCCGAGGCTGGTGCGTGGCAGGGGATGTCATACACCCACTCAATGCCGTGCTCTTTGGCCCAAGTGTCTATGAGGCTGTTTTGGAAATGAGTCCCATTGTCTGATTCAGTCCTTTCTGGGGTGTCGTGTCACCACAGGACTTGCTTTTCAAGGCCCAGAATAGTATTCTGGGCAGTGGCATGGGGCACAGGATAGGTACAGGATATGTTTCCAGCCACCCGGTGGTTGCTTCCACCATTGTGAGCACATGGCACTTGCCCTGGCGGGTTTTGGGGAGGGGGATGGAGTCAACTGGCCAGGCCTCCCCATACCTATATTTCAGCCATCGCCCTCCGTA